TGAGCATTTTGTAGTGTATATGATTGTGGAATCACTATGTTTAACACCTGAAACTATATTGTATATCAAATTTATCAAAAAAATTTTTAAAAATAGAGCCCAGTATTATGGTTCTAGCACTAGAAATGGAATGGGATTGATGGACTGGGAGGTAACAGTAGGACTTGCTTCTGATTGATGTTAATAAAAGGGGGGAGAGTATTAGAAAAAGGAGTGCACAATGAGTGTCTAACTTCCAACTTCGATGACTGCATAAAGTATGGAGAGAAAAAGGAAGCTGGATAATATAGTTTGATGGCAGGTGTGTGTTTTGACAGGGTGTGTTTTGTTTTGTCTTTTTTTTAATAAATCTGAATTCTACAGACATTTGGATATGCAAGATTTAACTTGAGTGGGAGATAGATCAGGGTCAATGATGTATTCTGGAGAATTAGTATCATAAAGTTATGATCAAAACTAGGAGACTAGATTCTATCACCCAAGCATATTGCAAAGAATTAGATGAGCAGTGGGAAGATGATGCAATGCCAAGTTTTAAAAGTCACTGGATTATGAGGAACAGGCAAAGGGGACAGAGAGGAAAACAGCAGAGCTCAGAGAGACAGAATTAGAGAAAGAGAAAGCCATTAGTAGCAGAGTGCACTACCAAAAAATAAAGAGGAATCATCTTCATTGAATTTGAATATGAATATCTTTGATAATAGTTTTAAAGGATAGCTGAGGGCAGAAGTCAGATGGCAGGGGGATTAAAACTGAATAAAGAGGAAGAAGATCTAGAGATTGTTGGAATAGAATGAAAGAGAAGGGAAAAGCAGAAACAGGAACTGAAAGAGTGGTGTTTGTTTATCTGAACTTTAGCTTGTTTTTTTTCTTTTGAAATGAAAAAGCCTGTACAGAGTAGCAGAACAAAGACAGAGATAGAAGCAAAGTTCTTACAGAAACTGGAAAGGATAGAGTCAAGGAAACATAAATGAGTTGCCTTTCTTAGTTCTAATTTTCTTCCCACTCATAATCATACACCCATCCCTATCTATGCTCTTGGTTAATTCTTAAAACTGCTTTTATATTTGTAGATAGTATAGTGAAGCTATGGAGCGCAGCACCAAGATTGAAATCCCAGCCTACCAATATATTACCTTAAGCAAGTTATTTAATTTCTCTGCATCTTTATTACCTATGAAATAGGATAATAATATCACCTACTAGATAGAATTGTAATAATAGTATCTAGTTTAAGGAGGAGTTGTGGGGATCAAATTATTTAATTCATGTATATCTCTTAGAAATGTGTCTGCATATGACAAGCACTCAACATATGTTAGCAATTATTATTATGTCAGCCACAGCTAAGTGATTTGACTCTTTGAGTCTTCACAATTCTTCTATGAATTAGACACTGTTATGATCCCATTTCATATATTATGATTAAGAATTATTGAAAATTTGGGATCCCTGGGTGGCGCAGCGGTTTGGCGCCTGCCTTTGGCCCAGGGCGCGATCCTGGAGACCCCGGATCGAATCCCACGTCGGGCTCCCGGTGCATGGGGCCTGCTTCTCCCTCTACCTATGTCTCTCTCTCTCTCTCTCTCTCTGTGTGTGTGTGACTATCATAAAATAAATAAAAATTTAAAAAAAGAATTATTGAAAATTTACTATTTTCTAGTCAATGATCTAAATGTGTTACATATAACAACAACAAACTTTATTACGTATAGCTATATACTGGAACTCTCTCCATCCCACCCTTCACTTCCAGATGGGGATTGTTTCCCCCAGGGAAACAAACCATCTTGGTGAATAAACTTATACTTTTGATATCTGAGAATCTCCTAACAAACAGCTAAACCCACATCCAATTGCTACAGTGACTCACACACTCAATAACCTTCACTTATATACACAAAGAGGATCTGAACACCTTTTTTGTGTTTCATTATTGATTGGATGGACAATCACATCATATCAGGTAGCTAGGGTGCTCCCCTAACCTGAGAAAGAACAAAAGAAACAGAAAAAGAACACTCAGAAGAAACATGCAGAAAGCAGAGGAAAATTTTATAATAGATAAAAAAGGTATTACATCTGTAAAAGATGAACAAGATGCTATAAAAATTCCTAAAAATTAAAAATATAATAGTAAAAAATAATATAAAGGCCATAAGATAAAATTGTAGAACTTAGATATATATGAAAATTAGAGAATTCGAAAGGTCTGGTGTTTGATGAATAGAAATTCCAGAAAGAGAAAAACAGAAGGAAGGGATGATAAAATAATACCAAAGTTTTCCTGAACTGAAAGGTCTGAATCTTGATTGAAATGGCCCAGGGGACTACACACAAAAATATGTGAAAAAGTCCCTTACCACAACTCATCTTAAATTTCAGAATACTAGATAGAAAATCCTTAAAGCTTGTAAGTAGGGAAAGCAAAAACAAAACCACAAAAACGAAAAAAAAATAAAAAGATCACAAATGAAACATGAGCAATTTGAAGGACACTGGATTTCTCAATAGAAACTCTAATTGCTAAAAGACAATGGAAAAATACCTTTAAATTTCTGATATCATTTCAGGATAGAAATTACTACCTAATAAAAATGACCATAGATTGAAGGCACTCTTAAACATACAAAATCTCAAAAAAGTTTACTTTTCATGCACTCTTTCTTGGGAAGCTCTTTTAAAAATATTTTTTATTTATTTATTCATGAGAGACACAGAGAGAAGGGCAGGGACATAGGCAGGGAGAGAAGCAGGCTCCCCATGGGGAGCCCGACACAGGATTCAATCCTGGGACTCCATCCTGAGGCTCCATCCCAGAATCACACCCTGAGCCAAAGGCAGATGCTCAAGTGCTGAGCCATGCAGGTGTCCCTCTTGGGGAGTCCTTTAAGGGGAAGGAGAATAAAAAGAAGAAGGAGAAGTAGAAGTAGAAGAAAGAGAAGAAGAGAGGAAAGACAAAAGAAGAAGAGGAAGAAAAGTCTAAAGAAACCGAGAAAGCAATAACATGAGATCCAGAATCAGGGAATCCAATACTGCAGAGAGGGAAGAGAATTTCTAGAAGTTGAAATAAATTCTCTTATCAATAATTGTATAGCAAAATAATAATAATAATAATTGTGTAGCAGACCACCAACAAATCACTGCAGACTAGAAAAGATGGACAGAGAGCTCCAGAAAAGATGTACCCATGGGAAGAAATTGACAGATGACTTGATCTGTTGGACTATGTTGAGAGGAGATTAATACTTCTGCTTGGGGTACAAGTAGTGATAGGTATAAGGAAAACTAAGAAAAGAAACTAAAATCAAAACAATAGTTAACTCTAGGAAAAACAAAAAGTACCTGAAAGGAAATGTGAATGTAGCATATAACACATCATTCAATTATGTATATTATGTACACAGGCAAAATGATGAAAACATTCAAATTATTGAACCCAAAATTTTGACATAAATATGCTGACATGATAGGGGAAGAAATGTAGATGCTTATTTAGCTATTTTAATACAGTAAATTAAGAAAGAGAAGAATAACATGTTATTTAGAATTAGGAAAGAAAATTTCATAAGAAGCAACAAAAATATTTCAGAATGTTGAAACTGGTTGCTTCTAAAGAGTAGGAGTCAGTGATGGGATTGACTTGGGCTAGGAGCCCAGGGCATTTGCAGGGCAATGCAAATTTGGTTATGCCTTTGAAAGTTCTTCAGTCTTTCAAAAATTCTACAATTGATATTTCCAAACAGATTGTGTATACCATGAAGGAGATGATATCATTCATTATGTTATATGCATCCATGATGCCTCTTTGAACCACTGATGACTGAAGAAAACCAAGGGTCTGGATAAGCTACAGACATGAACACAGACCTTTAGTACTTCAAAAGACCCAAAGAAGTAAATTACTAGTTCCTGGATAAGAAGTTATCTATATTTGCTGTATGCTTTGATTTTTGGCATCATTGTTTCATTACTTACTATTAATAAATTATATAACACTCTATTTTAAAAAAAATTAAGAAACTAACCATGAAAAATAGAAAAGGAAATAGAATTCCATACACATCCAACAATGCCTGCTTTCATCAGTCAGAGGTACTGTACTGGTGAAAGAATTTCAGGCCTACAATAGAGAAATCCAGCAAAAGATAAAGTATCAGTTTTCTTTGCTGTTGTAAATTGGATCCACAGTCAGTCATTTCTTCCCAGTTTTCTATCATTATTTCCTGAAGCAGAGTAAGTTACAGCAATCCACCCCTAGATAGGTGATTTGATTATCTTTAGCATGTGGAATCTTTTACTCTCGTAATGCTTATCAGCTCTGGCACAAATTGAACACATTAATCACCAAAAAAAAAAAAAAAGGGTCTGCAAGAAGGATAGGAACTAGTGAGTTTCACTGATAATGGGAAAATGCTGCTTCTTTTTTTTAAAGAACCACATTGCTAATATTAAGTTGAAAGGAAAATACTATTTTTTTTGAAAGCGATAACTATAAGGACGGATAAGGAAATGAATTTAAATGGATATTAGGAAAACTGAGAAGCACCCACCCCTCAATCCTCAGGAACAAACAGTAGTTGGCACTTATTTATATTTTGTTCTAAGGACAAGGCTACTAGACTCCGCGTTTGGGACTTTTTTGAGGCGTACAATCTGGAGGGCTGAAAAATCTGAGCTCAAAGATTGGTATCTTTTCCCAAATGAACGTGGATGTGTGCCTTCAAATGGTTAACGCTTATCTTCGCGCAGCTGGAAACGCTGCACAAATCTGAGCCTTTGAACGTGGGAAGCAGGCGTCTCACTAAAGCACCCGGGAGAAGGGGCGCAGGGGGGCGAGCAGGGGGGGCGAGCGGGGGGCGAGCAGGGGGCGGGGGGGGGGGCTGCTGTCTGAAGCTCCTTAGCCGGGGCCCAGCCTGCAGGGTTGGGCTCCCCCATCTATCACTGAGCACAAGCGGGCAGAGGCTTGTCTCTTGGACAAAAACGTCCTTTTTTGTTACCTTGCTGTTATGCCTGGCAGCTTCTTGTCCACGAATTCCTGCATGCACTGGTGTTCCGTGGAACTGTTGAGAAACCTCCGAAAAGATTCAACGTATCTGTTGTGGTCAGAAAACAAGCTCCTCATGGAAGATGCCATGTTTGGCTTTCTGATGGAAGACAGAGAAGGAAGGAAGTTTTAACTTCCCCCTCCTTTTCTTCCCAGTTCCCCTTTTTTTTTTCCTCCTGACTTCCACCAATTCCTATCCTCCCTCCCCTTGCACACACACAAAGAAAGAAAGAAAGAAAGAAAGAAAGAAAGAAAGAAAGACAAGAAACAAAAACCCTGCTTTGAATTTATCAGTCACTCAAGGCTGGTGTGCAAATCTCATTATTACGTCAGTCATTTGTACAGGACTTGGCGCTGCGACTTTAACCCCTACGGTGTTGTTTTGTAAGAACCAGAGGTGGAAAAGTAAAGCCGTAAATCCACTGCTAAAACTTGTTTTTTAAACGCCTGAAGTTCAGAAAGCCGAAAAAAACATTGGATTCTAATCACTTCCTGTTTTGTCAGCAGCAGCCAGAAGTAAATTCCATGTGGGACAGTGGCTGCTTTAAGAGCCGAAGGGGACAATCACGCGGATAAACTCCCATGTAAAAGGCTACAAACCACTGTCAGAAGTCTACCCCTGCAGAAACCTTTAGACTGTCCTCTGCCTCCAGGCTTTCTACAGGAGAATTTCTTGCCTTCACCCTTCTCTACCTGAACTTTACACTCATCCACTGCATCTCTTCAAATGCTGATTGGTTTGTTGTGATTCAGGAAGTCTCTTTAGCATATTACGGCACAAACGCAGTAGAAAGGGTAAAAGCCGAATCTGTAGCAATCATCCCTAATTGCTTCTGAACAAGGGATCTTAGATACTTAGGGTTGGATGAGCCTGAGGTGGCCTAGTGTTGTCACCTGTCAAAGACCCAAAATGTTAGAATATCCATCCACCTGCTGGACCTTTTACCTGGGAATTGGTGTTAAACAAGACCACTCCTCCAGCATAGGGTGTGTTTTTTGTTTGTTTGTTTGTTTGTTTGTTTGTTTGCTTTTTGCATAGGGTGTTAATAACTGTATCCAACTTCTGGAAGAGTTATAAGAATTAGTGAGTTATACATACACGTCTCTTAGAGGTGTGTCTGCCCAAGCCATTCCCTTCCGCTGATTCAGTTCCCAAACTGCCCTCCAAACATTCAACATACTCCCAAACCCTCTTTTTTAAGTACATCATGATCCCACTACTCTTAAGATCTGTGCTTTTACCATAGGAGAATGTGGGAAATCTGGCAAAGCAGACTGATGTGGGCGTAAGTGTGACACTGTGTGACCTTGGCTGAAACATGACCTTCTTTTTGCTCATCAGTAAAATGGCAACAATGAATTAACTCTCATAGGGTTGTAGTGAGAATTCCGTAGATAACATTGATGTGATGCTTAGCACGTTGTTAGCGCTCCTATAATGGGCAGGCTGGTTCCCTCTGTAATAAGAAAATAATAAAAAGGTTATCAGTTTTATTTACAGACACTGAAAATTGAGTTTCATTTCATTTTCACAGGTCATGAAATGTTAATCTTCTTTGGATTTTCTCTAGTCATTGAAAGATGTAACAATTATTCTTAGCGCAGGGGCTGCACAAAAACAAGGTGCTGGGCTGGATTTGGCCCACAGGTCCTAACTCAGCCCCTAGACCTACATACATACAGACAGAAAGACAGACACAGGCTACTTAACTCCTGTGTCCATCCAACCAGCGTTGTCTTCTCAAACTGACTCTCACAAGGTTCTGGTTCTTCATTACCATCTCCCGGTCTTCCCTTTAGAACTCAGTCCAAATCATTCATGTATTCATCCGCCGTCATCCATTTAGTAAGGGTGCACTGTGTGAAGAAATGGCATTGACCTGCTCTTCAAAAGTTCCTACTAAAACCTACTTAACTAAAACTCACTCTCACGTGAGACCAGCACATGCTCGTTGTCAAATCTTCCCTAACAGGCCACTCTTCATTTATGTCTCATTAGGGATTTCCTCCGTGTTCTCATTGCCTCTTATTCTACTTGAACTTCTCCTTTAAAAACTTTTTTTTTTCCTTCTAAGCTATATTCATACTGACCTTCCTGTTTTAGGAGAGCCAATTGTATTGCCACCACCAGATTCAGTTTTCTAAAGCACGGTAATGATGAAGTCACTCCTCTCCCTTCAGATGTGTCCTATCCCTCCCCAGGTTAAATCCAAGACTCATTCTCTGACTCTCCTACCCCATATCATCCAGGCTTCGGTTTCATTGTCCGTTAAGTCTGGGCAGTGCGTCCCTTCCAACTGCGCTGCTTCTCTGGATATATCCCTGTGCTTTCCTGCCTACAGCTTCTCCACGTGGTAGTCCCCCCGGAGTGATGCTCTGCTTCTCTCCCCGCCCCACTGAAAACCATGAAGCCTTCCGTATTTCCCTCAAAAGGTTTAGCATTTGTGCTCTTAGTTTCTGAGGTTCTTACAGCATTGATGGCATTTGTCCTTGTGTTAAGGTTTGTTAATACACTTGCCCCATCACAGGAGAGGAGGGTAAGACGGTGGAGGGGTGGGGGTCCTCAGCTCACCTGGCCCCACCAACTTACCTGGATAATTTTCTTTCTTTTTTTTTTTTAAGATTTTATTTATTTATTCAAGAGAGAGGGGGGGGGCAGAGACACAGGCAGAGGGGCAGAGACACGGGCTCCATGCAGGGAACCCGATATGGGACTCGATCCCGGGTCTCCAGGATCACGCCCCGGGCTGAAGGCGGCGCTAAACCGCTGAGCCACCCGGGCTGCCACCTGGATAACTTTCAAACCATCCTAAAAACCTTGAACTCTACCTGAGATGTAAAGAGAGCACAGCTGGAACGCTCCAGAGGGAAGGGTTTTTGCTTCTAACAAGGCGGGAAGGTGGGAAAAAAAAAAAAAGACTCAAGAGGGGAGGGCCCCGTGGGGAGCCGGGCTAAGGGGGGCGGGAGAGCCTGGGGACAGGAAGGCCCAGCCCCCAGGAAGCGGGAACTTTCCACCCCGCCCTCCTCTCCCCGAGGGAAAGGCCTCCAGGGCGTCGGCAGGGGGTCGGGCAGGCCGGCAGGAGGGCGGGGGAGCCTCAGGTCCCGGGGTCACGAGCAGAGGAGGGCGCTGGGGGAGAGCGCACCCCCACCGCGGCCCATCTGGGGCAGGGCTGGAGCGCACCCCGGGGCCTCGGGGGAAGCCGGGGGTCGGGCGGGGACCGGGGAGGGGGCTGCGCCCTGCTGCCTTCGGGGGCTCCCGGGAGCGATCCCAGGGGGACACGGGCCTGGGGGGCACCTGGCGGGGGCGGGGCATCCCCCAGGGGCGCACTCCTGAGACGCAGCACAGCAGGCCCCGCCCCCGGGAGACCAGCTGGAAGGACAGGGGGAGGGCGAGCTCCGGACCCAGCAGGCTGGGAAGCTCCAGGGGAAGTCCACGGACTTAGAGTATATAGAACCAGAGGATACTCCTTTTTTTTTTTTTTCTTCCTTTTTCCAGTACAAAGCGTTTTTATATCAGACTGTAAATTTCCAGGTTTTTTTCTCTTTTCCAACCTTAACTACAATAATTCACCACCTCCTCATTTTTAAGTTTATTCCTTTTTGACTTTCATATTTCTACAACTACAAGTCTTAGATATATTTTCCACTTCTAGATTCCCTTCCACATACTCAATTTTGGGAGATATATAAGATATGGGGGTTTTTTGTTTGTTTTGTGTTTTTCTGTTTGTTTGTTTGTTTGTATTCTCTGCCTCATTTTGTTCTATAATGGCAAAAGTTAATACCTTCTAAACCATGACCAGCATGCACCCAGAACCAACTGCTATGCCATGCTGGTTCATTCTGTGAGATTCCTCATTCCCATTCTGTCCCCCTCTTTTATTTCATTTATGTTTTGGTGGTCAATCTTGGGGCCCACTACAAGTATTTCTCTAAAAGTATTGGTTTATATAAATTTGGGACTGAGCATATTCTAACATACAGAACTTAATAACTCAGAACCAAGAGGATCACTCTCTAGTACCCCTCAGGTAGACTATATTCTCCCTCCACTACAACATTATCGCCACCACCATCTCCCAGTACCCCCCTCCCCCTTTTTATACTTCTCCTTTTTCTTTTTCTCTTATTCTTTAGGATTCTTGGCCTTTTATTTTTTATTAATTTGTTTTAAAATTTGATTTTCACTTTAGTGGACCTTTTGTTTTATTTTGCTCTGATCTTTGTTTTCAATTTCTGGTCTCTGACCTCAGCAGAATCATCTAAGGTGAAATTTACTCAGGTCATGGTTGATATTCTTGACTCGGCCCACTCATACAGCCATTCTGCACTAAGCAAAATGACTAGAAAGAAGAACTCCCCACAAAACAAAGAATCAGAAACAGTACTGTCTGCCACAGAGTTACAGAATTTGGATTACAATTCTATATCAGAAAGCCAATGCAGAAGCACAATTATAAAGCTATTGGTGGCTCTAGAAAAAAGCATAAAGGAATCAAGACACTTCATGACTGCAGAATTTAGATCTAATTAGGCTGAAACTAAAAATCAAATAAATGAGATGCAATCCAAACTGGAGGTCCTAACGATGAGGGTTAATGAGGGAGAAGAAAGAGTGAGTGACATAGAAGATAAATTGATGGCAAGGAAGGAAGCTGAGTTAAAAAGAAAAACAATGAAAAGACCACGAGGAAAGGTTAAGGGAAATAAATAACAGCCTCAGAAGGAAAAAAAAAACCTATGTATAATTGGGGTTCCAGAGGGCACCATGAAGGCCAAAGGGCCAGAAAGCATATTTGAACAAATGATAGCTGAGAACTTCGCTAATTTGGGGGAGGGAAACAGGCATTCAGATCCAGGAGATAGAGAGGAGCCCCCAAAAATCAATAAAAACCATTCAATACCTCGACATTTAATAGTGAAACTTGCAAATTCCAAAGATAAAGAGAAAAATCCCTAAAGCAGCAAGAGACAAGAGATCCCTAACTTATATGGGGCAAAATATTAGATTAACAGCAGACCTCTCCACAGAGACCTGGCAGGCCAGAAAGGGCTGGCAGGATATATTCAAGGTACTAAATGAGAAGAACATGTAGCCAAGAATACTTTATCCAGCAAGGCTCTCATTCAAAATAGAAGGAGAGATAAAGAGCTTCCAAGATAGGCAGAGACTAAAAGAATATGTGGCCACCGAACAAGCTCTGCAAGAAATATTAAGAGGGACTCTGTAAAGGAAAGAGGATGGACAAAAAATAATCCACAAAAATGGGGACTGAATAGGTACTACAATGACACTAAATTCAT